GAGAGAGAGAGAGAGAGAGAGAGAGAGAGAGAGAGAGAGAGAGAGAGAGAGAGAAGTGCTTAAGCGTCCAGCAATAACCAAACACACATCTGTGCCTATCCAATGGAAAGCTCTGCTCAGACATCTGTCAAAGAATTATGAGATAGATCATTGCATGAATCACCTACAGAAGGATTACTGAATCACCTGCAGAAGGAAAAATGAATCACCTACAGAAGGAAAAAGAGAACAATAAATGACAAAAATAGACATTTGTGATCGGTCGGGATATCCTCCCTCAATGAAAAATCCTCCATCTCTCGTATTTCAATTGTTGCCTGTCACAGCGGCATGAATGGCATCTGCCAAATGAGGGACAGTGCTCGGGCTTAATCCAGCCATGCTGATCCGGCTGTGCAAACAAAGCGTCAAAAACAGGCAATGCAGTTGGCAGAGAATGCCACGAATTAGACACGATTTTAGCTATTCCGCAATAACACATCTGCATCACGAGTTCTCTCACAATGTACTCTCTCTTTAGCAGACAGCCCTTCAAAACAGAGAGGGGCCTATTCACAAATCCATGAGGTACAAGCCCAGAAATAGTGAGTGTAATGAGCCTCAGAACTCACCAGACGATGCAGTGCTCAAGCCAGCATGCATGACTCACAGATTCACGGATTGCTTTATCACACACATTGCACAAGAGAAGATGAGTATTCTGTCCAGCGCTCAACAAGTTCACACGTCTTCTTCGATCATCAAGAGTCTCAACAACTGCGCTCATCAGCGCTCGTCTTCCACACCAAGTTCGGCGCTCTCCAGGTGAGTATCCACCATGCCTTACTCTCTCTTTCTCTCATATCTGTCTGGTCCTCTCGCCTCAAAATCAGCTTCTTCTCTAACATGCACACTCCCTACTACTATCACACTCATGAGGATCAACTCTGAATACTACCCACTGCTCTGCTACATCTAGCCACTAGCTCTAAGCTCCCTAGCGCTGGCGGAGCTGTCTTCTCCCCTGCCAGCGTCCCCCTTCCTCTCTCTCATCTCACTTGGCGCTGCTCTCTGGCATAGCGCAGCTTCTCACATCCGGTGCACAAGTGCACTAGCACTTCCACACTCTCGTGTGCATGAACATCTGTCGAAATGGGAGGCTGGCCAGTCTTTTGTAGTGTTGGACCGGTCTTGGTTGGGCCAGTCTCTGGCCGAATTTCCTTGGTACCGCATGCCCACTGCCCGTTACTGCGAAGTGTGAGTCCTGCGAAGTGCGAGTCCCAGTACCTGTCCCGTGGTCTGCTGCTGCTTTGGCCTTTAGGCCTGCCTTTCGAACTTCTGGTCTGAGTTCAGACACGACTTATGGATATGGACTTGACTGGGCCTGTGACCTTTACCTATCTGTTGAACAGACATGACCCTTACCCAGCTCAAGTTAACTGTTCGCAAAAAACCTGGATGTGACTTTTAAAAAGTGACTTTTCGTTTAAGTCTGGACGCGACCTCTGCCTCAGGAGACTTGTCTTTTGAAATGCTGATTCGTAACTTCAGGATCTGGCCGACTGGGCCCCTTTATGTTGGGGTCTGAATTCGGGGTCTGAATTGTGAAGGCCCTTTCACTCTCGCCGGCCTAATTTCGAAGTCCTCTGAGAAACATCATTTTTATCTGTCTATTATGTTAATTCCTCTTCTTGCTCTTTCACAGCAGGATACAATATTCGGTGCTGTTTGAATTAATTGTTCTCTTGTAGAACAGCGATCTTCTGTTGAGGTCACCACACTTCAAACATTGTCCCGCGACCTTTCTTTCTTGCCAAATATTTCCATCTATCCCCATCTGTTACCACGGTTTGCCAATGGGAAAACCAGGATGGGCATGATATGACTGCCTCCAATTTCCTCTACCTCCACCCCATGTGGAGTTGAAACCTCGTCCACCTGGCGAAGGACCATTTCCCCTACCTCCCACGTAATAGCTACCTTCGCTACCACCCCTTTGGGCGGTGGGTCCTCGTCCTCCACGACGACCGCGGACTCCTCTACTCTTCCATGGCCTCTTCCTCCTCGTCGCCCTCCCCCGCGGGCTACAACGGCTGCATTGTCCCCTGCCTGGGCTAAGTGAACGTTGTTGTCCTTGTCTAGTCCATAATCTATTTGGTCATAAGACAAGGATTTTACACCTTCGAAGGTGACTAGTAAGTTATCTTTCCCGGCTATGTTACCGGAAATGGTACGATCCCGGAACTTCTTACCTGCCTAAGGTCTTTCTAGTAACTTGCTGAATTTCTCATACGTCATCCCGTCCTCTTTGGTACGGGGATATAACGAAGTTGTTCAAGATTTGGGCTGTCGTTAGTCCACAATCAAGGCATTGCAGTAGCTCATCCATAGTGGCTTTGAGTGCTGATGCACTCTTCCACTTGCGATCACCTATATTTAGGATGAGGGACTCGGTCCTTCGGGCCAGATTCTTATCCTCAAATCTTTCCCTCAAAGCCTTAAATCTTTTATGCGAGTTTGTTGCAAAAATAGCACCATTGACTGACATCCAACTTCTTTTTGTAAGGAGATGGCAAAGCTCATTGCATCCCTTGCCAGACACGAACTCGCCATCAACATCCTATCCCAATTGGGCAACTTCTGTGCATACAAATAGGTGTCCATCGCTGCCTCCCAATGAAAGAAACTCTCCTCCTTTTTACCTGTATAGGTCCACGACAGTTTCACCTTCATTTTCTGCCGGGTATCCTCCGCCTCGCTGTCCCCTTCTTTCTTAGGACCCTTATTCTTATCTCCATCGTCTCCTCCATCTCCCCCATTTCCTCCGCCGCCACCTAATATCTTCTTAACTACAGCGGGGTCTGTTAATCTTTTGCTTATCTGAGCGTCTAACTGATCCACAGAGAGTTTCATGTGATGATCTACTTCATGTGCAGACCTTTGCAGGAAGCTATTCCAAACACCTTCAAATTCAAATTGATGGCCTTCTAACTTTTGCAGTCCTAGTTAACGCAGCAAGTTGTTTGTTGTTCCTTGTTGGTATGGAGGAGGGTGTCAGTGAGGAGGGAGAGTCGTTTATCTGCAACTGCTTGTTGTTCCTTTTCCCCTTGCAGTTGTTTCTGTAGTCTCTCCCCTTCTTCCTTCATTCTTTCTTCTCTTCAAATTCTTGCCTTTTGGCTGCCACCATTTTATTACTTAATTGAAGTTAATTCTGTTTTTTTTTCTTCCAACAGGATTTCCTTTTCTGCAGGATCTTCTGTTGCAGCTAACTTTGCAACGAAAGCATTCTTTTCCTCCTCAGACTCAACAAGCATTTCGGTTCTACATCCGAACTCCTCCAGCCAGTTCATAGCTTCGAGCTGCACTGTGATTTCACCAGCTCGGCTGCTTTCTCCTCTCTCAGTCCGGTGTCGTTCTAGATGCTCGCCATCTTCTTCTTCTTCTTTTCCTTCTTCAACCTTCAGCTCTTCCTGCAGCTGTTTCTCTTTTTCTTTCATTTCTTTTTCCAATGTCTCCCTTTCGAGTCCCAGTACCTGTCTCGTGGTCTGCTGCTGTTTCGGCCTTTGGGCCTGCTTTTCGGACTTCTGGTCTGACTTCACACACGACCTATGGATAGGGACTTTACTGGGCCTGCAACCTTTAGCTATCTGTTGAACAGACATGACCCTGACCCAGCTCAAGTTAACTGTTCGCAAAAGACCTGGAAGTGACTTTTACAAAGTGACTTTTCGTTTTAGTCTGGACGCAACCTCTGCCTCAGGAGACTTGTCTTTTGAAATCCTGATTCGTGCTTCAGGATCTGGCCGACTGGGCCCCTTTAAGTTGGGGTCTGAATTCGGGGTCTGAATTGTGAAGGCCCTTTCAATAGGGTGTAAGCGATCCTTAAGGCCCTTTTAAGAAAAAGGAAACATGAATCAAACGAGGTACAAGCCCAGAAATATTGTGTAAGAAACGGACATTCAGACTCTTTCAGAGTATACACTAAAGGCCTTCAAAAATGGCAAAATTGAAAATTACAAAATGAGCAGCGAGATAGAGTCCTTCGTTTACAAGGCCTCGCTCATTTTGCGATTTTGCGATTTTGGGGGCTTAGTGTGAGTGCGCCCTCAGCCACCTTTTTACTAGGAGGAAATACGAATCAGGTGAGGTACAAGCCCACAAGTAGAGGACAATCTGGCCGCTCATTTTGCAATTTTCAGGGCCTACCGGTAGTGAAAGTATATGCCCTCAAGGGCCTTTTTCAAGGTAAGGACAAGGTGGTAAAAGGAAATACGAATCAAGCAAGGTACAAGCCCACGAAAAGGGTGTAAGCAACGCACATTCCAGGCCCTTTTGGTAAAATGAAATACGAATCCAGCGAGGTACAAGCCCACAAATAGGGTGTAGGCAACGAACATTCGAGGCCCACAAGTCAAGCGAGGTACAAGCCCATAGGGTGTAAGCAACGGACATTTGAGGCCATTCTGGTAAGAGGAGATGTGAATCATGCGATGTACAAGCCCACAAATAGGGTGTCAGGAATGGTAAAAATGAAACACGAATCAAGCAAGGTACAAGCGCAGGAATAGCCCAGAAATAGGGTGTAAGCAATGGACATTCGAGGCCCTTTTTGCAAGATAAAGAAAAGATTGTGGTAAAAAGAAATACGAATCAACAAACCATACTCTCAGATGATATATACACTGATGCTGGAAACAAAATGGCATGATAACCAATGGGCCTAGCTGCGTTGCATACACCCATCAACTGTTGAAACACGGACCTGAGTTCGAGCCCAGATGCAACCGGATGACCAGAACAATATCATTCTGAATTACCTGGGGCCGGCCAGTTCAATGAGGATATCCCAAGGCCATGGCCCTTTTAAAGAAAGGAAAAAAAGAGGCATGATAACAGGGACCCCACTTCCAGCTGCTGGGTTACGGACCTCTGACTTAAGTTTGGGTCTGAATTTTTTTAATTTTTTTTTGCTGCTATTTTGTTTTTATAGGTTCCATCACAAGTTTGGACCATTCCTCAATTTATGCATGTCATCCTCCCACAGGGCCCATGCTACTGGTCTTCTCTGTATCGTCACAGTTTTAACTTTTAACTCATGTCCCGAAGGACGATTTGGGTCTAAAGACTCTAGACTCTAAACTCTAAATCCAGACCCCTCTGTTTTTCTTTTTTTTTTTGTTTGCCATTTTTTTTTGTTTTTGGTCAAGGTTTCTTGTGCCAAATGTGGTGTACTTTCCACTATTGGAAACGACTGTTTTAGGTCAAGGTTTCCGTGTGTGTATTTTCCACTACTGAAAATGCCTTCTGAAGGTCATAAGGACCTTTTTACAAGGAAATGATATCTGAAAACTGCTGAAAATCCTGACGATTGGAAGTCTCTTGTCAATGCGGCACGCAGAATCATGCCCTCCTCGACTGAGTACACAGAATCACAGCAGACACAGACAGCTGAGATGCCTAAAAGAGCATGGACTCACCCGTTTGACGTCATGTACACGTGGTAGTCTCTTGTCATTACGGCGACCTGCTCCTTGTTCAGACCTGAATACGTGAACATTCCGATTTGATTCAGAATGTGGCTCCAGTCCCCAGGAGTTTCTGCAAAGAGGACAACACACAACAACACACAAAGCAGTCAACTAAAAATTGCATGCCTCAACTAAGGGCCGCGCTCCACCACTCACAAAACTCAAATACTTGCCACTGGACATTTCTCAGCAAAACGCCACCTCTCTCCACCACTCACCACAGTACAAGACAAGGCCGGGGCGGTTGAGACTGGCCCCCGCCTCATCTTATAGTGTGGTGAGCTCACAACTTTTGGTGAGAGCACGAGAGGAGCCTCCACAACCCCACCGTTGCAGGTGAGGGAAAAGCAAACTGCGGTCAGTACTCATGACGGCATTTCGCCACCAAGGAAAAAGCTACTTCCAACACAGTGGCTGTGGGGAGTGGTGGAGAAATGAAGCAACCCACCAAACAGCGGGCTATGGTGAGTGGCGAAGCGAGTCCCTAAACAACTAAGCAAGCTCTGTCCGAAGGCACCTAAGATCATCTTATGATGTCATAAATATCCCATTGACCTTCTCTCTAGTCCACGGAACAGACCACAGTTTACAGCCAGGTGTCAGTTTCTTGGGTTAAGTGGAAGAAAGGCTCTGCTCTGCCGGTTAGTCATCTGCAACCTCGGTAATATGCTGTCCGATTGTTTTCCTCTTATTAATGCAGCTCCTCATTGAGTGGAACACAACCATCGTCGTCGCAGAGCTAACAACGATGTGACTTCACCGATAGAAATGTCCATGCAACCATGAAAAACGTTCTTTTATTACAAAAGAATAAAAGAAAGAGGGCGTTACCTCGGAGTATCAGGGCATCATAGAGCTGTTTCCTCATCTGAATAATGCGATTGGCCATCCCACGAAGTTCGCTCATCCACTCTTCTCGCAGTTCCCTGCAATGCACCACACATAATTCTCATTGTCAGCTGGACCAGGGACACTGGATTTGACGCACAAGCATGATGTCGCCTCAGGACTTCTTCATGCCACAGAAAGTGATACAAGACTTCCGGTCATGAAGTCGCTGCGATAACTGTAACTGCACGTGTGCAAATCATAACTAGGTGCTTAAACCAATGGTGCCAGCCAGACAGGGAATTATGACCTGAAGAACATTCTCACAGCGCACATCAAGCCGGCCACAGGCAGGCCGGTACACCACTATAACAGCGTCTGGGAATGTGAGAGGAAACTTGACGGCCTCAATTCACTGCTTATCGAAACACACCAACCAAGCGTCCTTCTGGACATCCGTGAAAATTGGAACGACACGGAGAAAGAAGATTAGCATGGCCCCTGTGCAAGGATGATGACACACATAAATCTAGAAGCGTTCCGAATTCAAAAAGAAGACAGGTTCACGATCTCGACCTGGCTGTCTGTTCAGGGGATTTGGAGTGGACTATGTCGGTCATATATTATGAGTTGCTGACAGAGTCAGTGGCAAAAACCACACACCAACAGACTATGAAAAGAACCGGAAGTCACCATGAAACTAACCAGCCCCGGGTAATTCAGGAACCAAAAAGACAAAAAAAAAGGGAAAAGAAAAGAGTGTTTTTTTTTTAATAAAAAAAAAAAAAAAAAAAACTTCAAAAAAGACAGCACATACCAACGCAGCAGACCAAACTGCATACAAAACAGGGGGCAGACACACGACGATCGACCTTAACTACTTCCCCACCAGCATGCCAATGCAAATAAGAGTACAGTAGAAGTGGGAAAAGAAACACCTCGCCCATCATTTACTCTCCCCACCCGAACCTAACAGTAACCACACAAATACTAATTGGCCCCGAAATGAAAACCAGCAAGTCTGACTAAAATTGTGAAATAGGGAGAGCAAAAATCAGCAGAAACGCCGAATAAATAGCACCCAAAATCTCAAGCAACAACTCCAGACCAGCTTAAATTTAGGTCAGAGATCCAATAAAAGAATACGTTTTGATGGAGATTGTCCGTATACCCTACCAGGCCTCCGTAAATCAACAGCCAAATACTTTCTTGATCAAGCATATACCCTACCAAGAGGTCCAGTGGAATATTCCATGCTAGTATATAAGATCCGCAAAACATTACATCTAGAGAGGTAGCAAGGGAACAAAAGATAGCTGTGTTGCCAATTGGATTCGGGGGACTAGCATTCACATTTCCATGATCAGTAAATTTTAATTCACGCAACACAGCTGCTCCCAAAGCTGGATCTGATATGAATCTCAGAGACGGAATATGGAGAACTCCCAATGGACCCCTTTCAAAAACCTTCCCAGTACAAGTACGCGCGTACTAGAGTGCAGCTTACTTTTCAACACCTCCCGGCACCTTCAGTCTTCAGATGCACCCAATTGCCCAAATGACACAAGCTAACTTTCAAGATTCAAATGGACTGACAAACAAGTGAATATCCGTCTTGACTGTCAATCCTCTACATCACAAAAACTTTCATTGATATGACAAAGACCATCTCCGATTTGCCTTTCATCAATTCAGGCAGAGTCCACGAGTATCCACTTGCACAGCAATCTGAGAATCCTCAAGTATACACTGGACGAATGTGTGTACCTTGGAAATGCTCTCACCCCTTCCTCACGGGGTCCAAAATGAACTACAAAACTCCCGAGTGATGCAACAAAGGAAACATGATATCAGTTGATCCATATCATTTTAAGTTATTTATATCATGTTCCGTTGTTCGATATTATGTTCCCACATTATGTATGTAGTCAGGAAGAGGAGAGAAATCTTCCATTCCAAAAAACAAAAGCATGATATCAGTTGTTCAATATGATGTTCAGTTGTTCAATATCAAGTTGAGTTGACCCAACAAAGGAAACATGATATCAGTTGCTCGATATATCATTTTCAGTTGTTCGATAATCATGTTCCGACATTATGTCTGTAGTTACGAAAAGAAGAGCAATCTTCCATTCCACAGTTGATGGAAAACCAAGCTAGCTTTCTATATTTTCACTCATAATTCCATGTTTGTTTACAGAATCTGAACACAATTGAATTCTCAACACCTACTTGTCTCCAAGTACCGTTGTAACGATGCTGGCTCCGTGTATCGGAGGGCTCGAGTACATCTTCCTAATAATAATCTTCACTTGACTCTCCAGCTTCTTGGCAATAACTTCTGACCTGCAGACCTGCAACCACCCAAACATCTTATCAGGCCTACTGTGCACCGGCAGACAGCTGTTTCATGAACTATGACTCTGATATTGATGATATGAACTACGACTCCGATATTGATGATAAGTTGTTAGCAGTTCTGAGGGAGGTTTTGAAATGGGTACCTACCGGAATTGGAGTTCTTGTTAGAACGTACGTGGTCGTATTGTGAGGAAAGTCTGAAATAGGACTTTTTTTTTACTGAGGCTCGAAGAATGAATGGTTTTTTGGCTGAACAGCGACGGATATGAGGCGTGGTCAAGTGAATGTGAACCGGTTTCTTGATGATAATCTGAAAGTTTAGTTGAGTTTTGTCTGGAAAACTACTCCTAAGCTTAGTGTCCTGTTAGGACAAGATAAATAGACACATGCAATGACTTGCTGATTCTGCAGCCTGCGTTCCATCGAAGTGAGGCTGTAACATAGGTAGGTTACATTCTAAATTTTGCTTTATCCCCTTGTGGCCAAATTTGTGAGGGACATATCTGTAAATTTGGGAAAATTTCAGGCCCGTACTAATTCAGATTTCCTATGGTTACCCTGACTGCAAATAGCAGGCCCAGACTACCACGAGGACAGACGGGCCTAAGGGCCTACGCTGATAGACTGGTCCTTTAGCCTATAGCCGGGTAGGGAGAGGCCGAAGAGGCTGAAACGGAAACGGTACCAGTCGGTCCAGTGGGTCTGGTTTAGGTCGAGTCTAGGCTAGAGTAGATCTATTAATAGGATGGAAAGTCTGTACAGGGCTTTTGACGGTTGGCATTTTGCAGATCGCGACAGCACAACGCGTGAACTGGAGTGGTGACAGCTTCAGCGTTGAAGGAGACAGACATAGCCAGACCCTCGAAGAGTCGGACATAGCTGGGGCCTTCGCTGTTCTCTGGCAGCACGTGGGGCTGCTCAGAGGTCTGGGCTATCTGAGGTGTGCTGGGGGCCGGAGAAATTGGTGCCCTGCGGAACCCTCCTCAGGAGTAGGGTTCAGGGGGGTGGCGCTGCAGACATAGCTGCAGCTTACATCCTCAGAGATCTCCTTTGTCAGGAAAGGTGGTGCTGCTGCAGATCTTCATCAGTGAAGTTATCCGGCACTTGACCTCATCAAAGACTGTGGCACTGGTCTTCTTCTTCATCCTTGAGAGGCGCTTGCCCTTACGGGCCCGTTTCAGGGTGGAGCTTCCCTCTGGAGGCAGTATCTAGGTGGCACTGGTTGTTTCAGGGGTTCTGGGGTAGTAGACAGCGGTTACTCTGGGTGGGGGGAGAAGTGCTGCTCAGGAATGAGAAGCGGACCATGTTCCTGAGACTATTCTGGCAAAACAATTCTCTGAGTTTAATAAACAGTGTGGATACAGTATGAGAACTATCTTCGCTTCGTTGTTTTCTGGATGTGATCCACTCAACTTTCCTTTGTGACTGGCTGTGGGGATTTTGTGCAGTGAGCTGCACTTTCAGTGTGTTCTGTCATATCGCATGGTCAAGTCTTCCACTGTGTTTCTTTCTCTCAGTGCGGTGTGATACTCCTATCCTCTCCCCTTCCTTTTGTGTATGCATGGGCATGAGCGAGTGTTGGTCTTCTGACAACAAGCAACCAGGTTCATAACAGTTTGGCATCGGAGCGATTGGATCCAGTTAGTGACGCAGAGATGAGTTGGAGCAACTACCATCATCTGACGAGACACTGGATTTGTATCTCATGGCTAGGGTGGTAGTGACGAGTGTGTGGTGAGAAGCATTGGACAGAGGGTGACTCACTTCTGCTCAGGGGAGTAGAGAAGTGAGTGGCGATTATCACTCGAGAGGCCTGAGAGGCTCTGAGGAGGCTATTTTTAGCCTGGCCATTCGTGTGGAGTTGGCGAATTGCAAGGAAGTGACCCCCAAACTGTTGCGATTTCAAGATTGGGTCAGGATCCCAAATTCCCAAGCAACACAGTGCAGGTTGGAGCAGCGCTGCACTGAGTTTCTCAGTTCTTGGCATCCAGATTCTTTAATTGGGGTTGAAGCGCCACAGGAAGTCCTACAAGATCACCAAGTTTCAGAGGATGCTATACATGGGAACACTTGGAGCAATTAGGACAGGAAACTGGTGAGATGGTCCGATCACCAAATTTCAAAGGATTCTGTACGTGGGAACATTTGGAACAATTAGGACAGGAAACTCGCGAGATGGGTCCGAGGAGACAGCCATAGCCAAGTTCTCATCCTCCCCCTTCAGTGCAGTCTCTGAAGTAAGTTTGTTCCTAACTTTACTCTGGGTGGCGATTCTGGGGTTATTTTTTGGATTAGCGAAATTTGGTCTGTCAATCTATAGACAATTAAAAATCAAATTTCTGACTATGGGACAGTCATAGCCAATTTCTCCTACCTACCTCCTTTCTATTAACTTTGTTTGACCCTTTTTCCTGACTCGACTTTCATCTGTGACTGCCTTACAGTATTGCGACTCAGTTTGCACAGTGAATTGGATTGTTCAAGGTCATATTGTCAATGATAAGGGAGTTTCAAATTCTGCACTGTCATATCTAAATCTTGGTCAGACTAGGGTTTGTCATAACTTTGGTTTTGCCCGTCAAAATTCGGTCTTGTTTGTCCCTGGTAAATCGCAATTCAATACTGTCAGATTTGATGTTTTGAGTCGATTATAGTGAAATTTGTATAGGGTCATCCGGTGGCTGAGTCAGTAAGGGAAGCATAAAAATAGATCCAATAAATCTTGGTCATCTGTGGGTCTTTGTTTATCGCTATCTGTCACTCTGTCTAATCTCTAATCAATACTAATTAATCCTTGATTGCATCTTGTGGCTTACTGACACGGGAATTGAAATGATTGCACTCAATTGAGGTGTCAGGGCAATGAATGGAAAATTGTGATATGGTTTTAGCTAGGTGAGCCCTAAATTGACGCTTGAGCCTCAAGCAGTCTGGAGAGACTAAGCGCTTGTTTGCTCATACTAACCAACTTCTTCTTACAGTCAGGTGACAACAATTGGGCAAGAACTAAAGGGAAACCCCAATTCCTGTTGACCTCCCTTCTGTTTCCTATTGTACTGTACCCATCTGTTTTGTGGGATTTCAATGCCTCACACCGAAAGGCCGAAGTTTCTGAACAAAAACCTAAGCTCCCTCTTTCAGAACTTGATGCACCTTTTCTTGTTGAAGAGGCTAAACTTTAGAAGCAAGCAGCAGTTGTGGAAGCTCTGAAGGAAGAAAAGAGGCGCAGATAGGAGGTCGGCCCGAAGGAGGTCATAAGGAGACTTCTCATTGAAGACAGGGCGGATCAAGGTTAGTGGAACGTCCAGTTAGTACAATAAGGACATTGCTGAGTCCGTCCTGTCGCATGACGATATCAATCAGTCCTATATTAGTAACTGGGATGAAAGGATCACTAATCTCGAGGACTGTCAATCTGAATTTTAAAAAATGCTTCATGGGATCTCCTTCAAGCTGGATCAGCTCTTTGCACATTTCCAGAACCCCACAATCCTGAAAGTCCCTACACCGCCTGGGAGTCCTAAGGGAGGCTCCTAAAAAACCTCACAATCCAGACCTGCATTCCTAGCCTATACACCCAAATCAACAGCCACCTCACAACCTTCAGGTCCATTTGATGTGCAAGGGTCCAAGCTGACACCACCACCCATGTTCTCTGGGAAGGACCCCAAGGTGGATGTTGCAAATTGGGTTCCTGCACGAAGAACCTACCTGAGTGGGTTCAAATGTGACGAGGATGTGAAGGTGAGCGCAATCCTTGCTCATCTGAAGAGGACTGCACTGAAATGGTGCACCTCCACCTCCAACAAGCAGGGATTGGAGATGTCTGAGTGGGCGCAAAGACTGGGGGGCGCTGGATTTCTGCAGGCACTGAATGACCCGTTTGCAAACAAGGAGCAGGCCAAAAAAGCAGCGAACAAAATTATTCCCCTTGGCCAAATGAAATGCGACGGTTCCTTGTTCAAACTGTATTCGACCTTTGAGAGTCTGACACCGCCTCCTGGGTTGGAGATGAGCGAGCAAGATCAGCTCATTCATTTCCTTAGAGCAACGCCTGAAGAATACCAGCTTGCCTTATTTTCTCAGGGCCATAAGGATTGGCAGTCCTTTGGCAAAGCAGCCCTGGACTTGGCGCCCAAACTCCATGTTCTGAAGGAAGGAAGAGACCCTCCTATAAGGGCACGAGAAAGAGGAAGGGTGCTCTCTTTGTTGCAGCCTTAAGTTCAGAAGATGAGGCAACTTCTAAGAGTGGGAGCCCTCCATGGAGACTCCTTTGTCTTCTGCTGCAGATTCAGCAGTTATTGCCCTGGCTGATGCTCTGATGGGCCTTCCAAAGGGAAAGGCCTCGGCTCAGAGAGCACCAACCAGCAACAAAAGGGGAAAGGAAAGGGTCGTGCCTCTTCCCCTGCAGCCCAAAGACCAGTTCTACCACGAGATGTCCATTGGCCAGCTGAACCCCTTGATGCTTCCAACTTCCCCTGGGATGCACTCAGGATCCAAGACGGAGTATGGAGGAAGAGGAAGGACAAGGGAGTTTGCCTGAGGTTCGAGGAGGACCATTATCTTAAGGACTGTCCCCACATGCCTCACAGGTCCTCAGGCTCTAGTTCAAGAAACTAAAGAGGAGAGGTGGAATCTACAGCTCGTTCCACATATGCTGATTCATCTTCTTATGAATGTGGGTCTTCACCCTCTCTAGCTGACTCTTTTCTTGGATTTGCAGCATCAAGCTCCTTTATTTACAAGGACATTGATCTACATGAGACATGGGAGGAGGATGAACTGCAGGTCCTTGCTGATTTTTTCTTGTCTTTGCAGGAGAAGAAAAAGCACAGGTCATATCTCATCCTGCTTCGACCCTCCATCCTAGGGACCAGATTCAAAGGGCTATTAGACCGTGGGGCCACTCGCAACGTCATGTCTCCCAAAACAGTCAACAGACTGCACTTGGACCAGAGACTGGTTAAGTTGCGGCAACCGATTGAGGTTCGCA